TGCTATTCTATGTCAGACTTTTGATCTTAAGTAATGCTCAACTCCCCCATCTATTTCAGTGCTTCCAATTTGCTCTATTATTCTGCCCAGGCCTTTGTTGCTTTCCCATTTGAAGAGTAAATCACAATTATTTACCTACATAAAAACTACCCTAGGACAGAGGAGGATTCTACAGTAAGATCATCCTTTTTTCCAGTATCTTCAGGCGTAGCATTGTGTTCTTGACTAAGAATCATGTAGCTCCTCATCTCCCTCTTTAAACTTTGTCCATGACTTTGTTTTTAAAACATACATGTAAAAATACACATAAATCCAGATATTACCTGTGATTACCTCTGAGAAATGGAATTATAAGTGATTTTCATATTTTTTCTTTACTTTCTATTAGCTTCTTTAATACGCATTTTACTTTCATAATCAGAGCAAAATGGTTTTTATTGATCTTTTACTTAAGATCAAAAGGTGTATCCTTTTTGCCAGTAAAATATAAAGCATGAGTATAGAATTGATCCCAAAATAATTCTAAAATCAGAAAAACATATAGTGGACATGACCCATACCTGTTTTTCAGTCGGTTTCTTTCTAGCTTCTGCTCTGTCTTCTAATTCTTCCAATTCATTATCCTCAGTAACAAGATCATCATCATCATCATCATGTTCATTGTCATCATCAAACTCATCTTCATCATCAAAACCCTCTTCGTCATCTTCTATTTCAGCTCCAGAATCTTCATCTTCATCATCATCATCTTCTTCTCCTTCTTCATCTTCTTCTTCATCATCTGTTGCATCTCCTGTTTTACCTTCCATGTTACTTAGGTCTGAAATCAAAAGTGCCTGCAAGCCATTCTTTAATTTGATGTATCTAAGAAAAGATCACAAAACATTTTGAGTCAGTTAGTATACCATCACATGTTATCAGTTTAGAGGAATAAAAAATCCAAATGCATACACAGACTGTTCTGAATTAAGTCGTGTGCTTCAAAATATTGTTAGGCAAGAACACTTTGTCCTAATAGCCTGGCATTCTGTGATGCTCATCTTCCCAACACGATCGCTGAAGACAAAATGGGTTCATAAATTAATGTGGTGAAGAGAGCTGATGGTGCCCGACTATTACAAAATATAGTGTCTGGGGTCTCAAAGGCTTAAGTTAAGCAAGCAGTTATCTAGCAGGGAAGCAACAAAATCCACATGGAAGAAGCACATCAACCCTTATGATCACAAGGTGTAGATGGGATCAGTTATCAGAATCAGAAGACCCAAAACAAACAACCATTTTGATGCGAACAAGGGAGTTGGAATGGAGACCCAAAGACCACCTGTAGACAATGGGACATGCCCTCACAGAGGGTCACAAGGAAAGGACTTGAAACACAACATTCCTCTAGTTCTTTAATGTTTCCTCCCTCCCCACTAACATGACCCCAGTTCTATCTTACAAATCTAGATAGACCGGAGCATGTACACTGCTACAGCTAACAGCTCTCACAGAATCCAGGACATGTAAACCCCTCAGGACCAGTATTGACAGTAGTGATACCATGAGGGTAGGGGAAAGGTTGGGGAAGAAGGGAGAAAAACGGGAACAGATCGTAATGATCAACATAAAACACCCCCCAACCCCAGGGACAAACAACAGGAACCTAGGTAAAGGGAGACAGAGTAAAATATTAAAATAAAAATAATTTATAAATTATCAAGGGTTCACAAGGGAGGGAGGAGAAAAATAGAGGATCTGATTGATACCAAGGGCTCAAGTAGAAAGAAAATGTGTGGGAAATGATGATGGCAACAAATGTGCTTGACACAATTGCTGTATGGATTGTTATAAGAGCTTTAAGAGCCCCCCAGAAAATAATTTATTTAAACAAAATGTGTTGGAAGCCTAGGAACAGGCTGCCTCATCTTTCTCACTTGGAGTACCTGGTGGTTTCAAACTGCTGACTTTTCAGATCACAGCCCAATGCATAATCACTACAACACCACTGGGGCCCCCCTTGCAAGTAAAGGGGAGTTATAAATCTAGTCACTTCTGAATTATAGGGAGAGCGGATTAAGACCCAGAGATAAGAATATATTTAAGATCATCTACAAGCCAAGGAACAAAACAATCCGGACTTCCTACAACCAAGACCCTGGTTTGGAATTTTAGCCTCCAGAACCATGGATAAACAAAAACAAATCTCTGTTCTGTAATTCCATCTAACTATTGTATTTCTGTTACATAGAGCCAAACTAGGAAACCCAGACATAGACAAAAGCAGTGCTCTTTTTAAAGTAATAAAATTGGTTGCTCCTGGAGAGAACCTCGAAGGCTATTCCATTTCTGATTAAAGAGAAAAGATGAGGAGATATTTGATCATATATTCTTTTTGCATTTTTTGAATTTTGTACTATGAATACATGTTCACTTGTTGAAAAATAAAATTTTAGAAGAAAAACCGTAAATGGACCAATTCCATTACTTGACCTCCAACCAACCGTACCAGAACATTTAACCTAAGAAAAATGTATCCTTCAACATACAATGTAGGAAACAACAATTTCTCCCAAGTTGTCTCTCCCAAATATATGCCTAACTTAGCTGCTTGCTACACGTGGTGAATGACTATACGACTATACACTTGGAGGTCCACAGAAGTAGGTCAGGGGTTATTCCCCATAAGGGTTATCAGCCATCCAGAGCAAGCAGACACCATTTTTTACCCCACAAGTAGGGCCCACTCCCTTCTGATAAGGATAGTAGTAGATTGTTTCCCTGAAGGAGTGCCCAAAGGTCAAGCCCACCCAAGGGTGACCAAGGTTAGGCCGCCATCATTAATATAGGGTCCACCCATCTTGTCACATGTATACCTCTAATTCCTCCCTTCCTGTGCACAACCCTAGCTTATCCCCTTCCTGTCACTCTTATGCCTATTGTACTGCCCCTTCCTGTGACGTGTGGTTACCTATAATCACACCACCATCCCCACCCCACAAGTAGATATAAGCCTTGGTTAGCAACAAATGGGGTCTCTGCCCCACCTCACCTTGGCCCATGCTGTGCCCAGACCTGGCTGGTAAGATAATGGCCATCTAGGAGGTGAGCATGCTAACATGAAATGTGTGTGACTTCTTTATTTTACTCTCCTATCTCTCTCATGTTCTATGACTTTATTGTAATCTTTATATATCTCAACTGTACAATTGCACCTATCGAGCCCGCGATTAGGTGTGAGGAGCTAGCCTTTCCCCCCACAATACAACACAGTCAGATCAGTTTAACTGTTAAGGCAAAAATCTCATAAATTAAAATCCTGTTGATTCCCTTTTCTATAAAGTATTGTGTTTTTACCAGTCTTCAAAATTGCTTTTATAGCCTAAAGAAATAGCTATACCTCTGAGAATATATAATTCCACAGGCTTGGAGCCCTGTAGGTTATCCTAATTAGTGAAACTCTTATACCAGCTTGATAGCCGAATGTTGATAGATTGCTGCATTATACTCATTCTTTTTTTTTTTTGTATTTGAATTTTTTTTAAATCATTTTATTGGGGGCTCATACAACTTTTACCACAATCCATACATACATCAATTGTGGATAGCACATTTGTACATTCATTGCCCTCATCACTCTCAAAACATTTGCTCTCCACTTAAGTCCTTGGCATCAGCTCCTCATTTTTCCCCCTTCATTCTACTCATTATTTCATGGATTTATTCATTAAGCATTTGCCAAATACTCTGACACAACAGTAAAATGACATTCCTCAGTACCAGGCAAACAATTTTATGAGACAATCAAGCCAAGCCAATACAGTACAGGAGACAGGTTAGGAAGAAGTCAGGGAAGGTTTGTGAGACAAAGTGAGTCCTTAAATTGAGGAAAAGTGAAACAAGTAAAATAAAAATGGGATAAATAATAACACACAAAGAAAGACACAGAAGGGTGCCTCTGGCTCAAGATGGAGGCACTACTCGCATAGATTATCTTTCTATATCAAACATCACATTTAAATGATAAAAAATATCTTCATGGTTGTGGTAGTCATCTAATCTGGGGTCAATTTAAGGATTAAGAGTGTAGGGGTGGAGTCTAGGCTGTCAATCTGGAGATAGCCAATGAGACTTCTGTGTGGGCATGACCTTCTGAGAATTCTGGGAAATGTGGTACTTCCTTCTTGGAGGCAGAAGACACCTCTCTCTATATATGCTACTCCCTGGGAGACATTGCAGAAAACAAGCCACAGGGATGCAGCCAGACTTTTGAAGCCGGAGAAGCCAGAGAGAGACCCCTGCCAGCGCTGAGATGCTTACAACGCCACTGGACCCAAAGACTTTCTACCCACTGGCTTGTAATTGTCCTGCATTTGGCTTCATTGCATGTGTTTCCTGAGTATGAAGAGGACTTTATAGATTGACATCAGACATATGCGCTAATATCGGATTTATGGACTTAATATGGACTGGGCGGGGATGTTTTCAATTGCTCTTGTATGTAAACCTCTTTCTTATACACATATGTGTGTCCATGGATTTGTTTCTCTAGTCTACCCAGACTAACACAATGGGTCTTTGTTTGGGGATTTTTTTTGTAATATCATAACAGAAAAATGCTGTTAACAGACATGAAATTTAGAATACAACATGCAAATTTGATCAGATTAATAAAGAAAATAGGAAGACAAACCTAAACATGTGATAAGATACTGATTTTTCCTGCCAGGCAGAATCTCCAGATCAATAAATAAAATGAGGGAGGGAGAGCCTCAAGACATTAAGTTCAATTATTAATTAAACTGGAAAGCAACCCAAATGTCCACAGAGAGCAGAATGGAAACATGGCGGCATGTTCACAAAGGAATTTCTTTCACACTATACTATAAAACAGATATATATAATTCAGCAACAAGCTACAATCTTTAAAATAATGAATGCAAAACTCATCACAGAAGACTATATGCCTTATGAGTATCATTCAAGAAGAAATAGAAAAGAGAATAGAGAAAAGAGCTATAACAAGTCTAGAGATTGACTCAATCAAATTCCTACCCCACTGTTAATAGATTCCAACTCATGGTAACCTGTAGAATAGAAAAGAACTACTCCTTAGGATTTCTGAGATTGTGAATCTTTATGGTAGCAAATAGCTCATTTTTCCCATGTGGATTTGGCTGGTGGATTTAAATGACCAACTTCGAGATGTGCAGTCTCAATAGTAAGCCCACAGCATCATCAAGGCTCTTTCTGTAATCAAAACCAAAAACCAAACTCACTCCCCCTGCGTCATTTCCCACTCAATAAGGAAAGACCTTATAGGTCAGGGTAGAACTGACCCTGTGGGTTTCTAACACTGTAACTTGTTACAGGAGTAGAAAGCCTCACATATCTCTCGAGGAGTGGCTGTTAGGTTCTAATTGATGACCTTGTTGTTACCAACCTCTACGCATCCCAGGGCTCCTTTCTGTAACCAAGAGTTTCTCCAAAAAGAAAAGCCCAAGACCAGAAAGTGTGACAGGTGAATTCTACCAAACATTTAAAGACAAATTAACACCAGTCTTTCTCAAATGAAACCTGGTGGTGCTGATAGGTAAGTGTTGATCTATTAACTCGTAAGGTTGGCAGTTCTCCCATTCCATGGGAGAAAAATGAAGTTATCTGCTCCCATAAGATTGGCAGCCTTGGAAACCCAATACGGGCTCACTATGAGTCAGAATAGCTCAATGGCAGTGGATGGGTTTATCAAATTCTTCCTCAAATGAGGGTGATCACTTTATAAATCATTTTATGAAGCAATACCTGAATATCAAAGCCATTCAAAGACACTACAAGAAAACTAAAGACAATTAAGAGATTGAGAAGACAAAATTATAGGAGAAAAT